TGTTTAACAGACATACTTTGAGGCCTATAATAATTTGGTCAGAGGGGCATAAAGGACAGTTTTTGCTCCTTGACCTCCTAGGTAGACTAGTTCCAGGGGACTATGAGCATCTCTCGAAATGTCCTGTAATTGTGGACATTGTGTCCTCTTGATCAAGGGGTCCAAGGAGCCCCCACCAGATGGACCTGAATCAGTGTCCAGTCTACAAAGAGGAGGGTCAACACAGAGGAAACATTTCCTCCATGCTTCCAAGCAAAGCCAACCATGGTCGAGCAGGACCTTTGACTTATCTTCACATAGATGGGACTGATAAAAGAAAGGAGCCAGGGGCTCCTCCCAAACCCATGTGACCCCTGAGGAACAGATCCTGAAATGACCTTAAGAGTAAAATAAATTGGTTTATCTGGGCCAACTGTATGGCCTTAAACATCCAAAAGGAAAGTATAACCAAAGATTAAAGGGGTCAATAGAATTTCTTAATAGTCCATATGCATAGCTAAATGCTATACAACAAGCAACAATGCCAGATAGGAGATAACTTCTTTTGAGTTGTTGGCCATGGTGGCCAAAGGGACTCCCAGATAGTAACCCAGCATAGAACTGGGAAAATGAACAGCAGACCCCAGTCTTATCTAAAGGAGTATTGATAACTGATTGCTGCTTGAAGAGGAACAGCTGATCTTCCTAAGACAAAGACCTCTAGATAGGCTGACTAGTTTCACCAGAAGGGCAAGTAGTGGGGAATGGCTGGGGGTGCCAACAACACAGCAGACAGTAGCAGGGATATCAGAGTATAAGGGCTCTAGTGGGGGGAGGGAGCTATGGGAGGGTGCCATCTGGGAAGTGGGTGTATAGTTGAATAAGATGGTTTGGGATGTTCTGTGTGATACACACAAACACACACACACACACACACACACACACAAATCAACAAATTAAAAAATATATTTGCGGGGGAAGCATGGAAAATCACATCATGTTAATTAGTAGAGGTGATAAACATTATCATTGAAATCTACCTGGTGGTTTTATAGACATACACCAGTGCCAAGGATCCAAGTGCAACCGATTATGACTAGTAATAATCAGATACATACAGGTTAGAGATGCATGCACCAACATCTCAGTGTCAGTAGCAAAAACAGTGAATCTTTCTGCAAGGAACAATATATTCTAAAATGAAATGCAGATCTTTTTAAAGGTTAAAAACTCATTCAATTTTATGTCTTACTGACATAAAGGGCTTATACTGAGTTCAATATTGTATAACTGTATTAATTCAATTGTGAACCTAAAAGCTTACAGCCACTTGTGAAAGAGATGTACTCTTGCTCTGGAGTGTGTTACTGAATATGTTAATTAAAGCTGTAATGAAATGTTTCTTCTAATCATGTAGTTATTAAAAATTAAAAAATAAATAAAAAAAATTAGTATTGGAAAATGAGAAAGTAAACTGGGAAGTTTGTAAAATGTAAGGCTTATGCTGGTTGTGTTGGTGCACATGTATAATCCTACCACTTAGGAGGCAGAAACAGGAGGACTGCCACCAGTTTGAGGGTAGCCTGTTCTACACAGTGAGTTCCAAGCCAGCCAGGGCTACATAGCAAGATTGTGCCCCCTCCCCCGCCCAGCACAAAGTAAGGCCTGGAAAAACTACTCAGTGAGAGGAGCAATTTCAACATTATTAAAAGTTAAACCAAGGTATGCTTTAGGACTGATGTCTGAGCCACATTTTTCTTGGAATAATTTTTGCAGAGACTCTCAATGGATAGGACAATTTGTTAACCTGTTTGTCTCATGCTTCTCTGGTAGTCTCCTAGGATGACTGTTAAATCAGGCTGGTGGTGGAATTCATGTATGAAATAGTCTTTTTGTGTAAAACCTCACTACTTGATGGCTTTGTGTAATGAAAGAATTCAGTGTTAGTGAGGGGCAGGAAATGAAGCCAAAGGATGCGTCTCCTTAGATGTGTCTTGAGGTAGAAGAGGGGTCCACATAATAAACCTGGTTCCCTGATAAGCTTTTTCCTCTTCTTGGTCAAATTTTGCCTGGTTTTTCTCTTGTCTTGAGTCTCACAGATGTAATAGCACTTAAAATAGTGATAAGAAACCATTTTATTAAAAAGCATTTCTTATACAAAACTGTTGATTTTTATTTTTTTCCTTCCAGGTTACAGTAGTCATCGAGGAAAGTGATAGCTTTGATGTTTTAATGACTTCAAATGAAGTTAATTTCACAAGGCATGAGCAGAAAGCTCTGGTTCCCAGCCAGGATGGGGCAACTCTTCTTTTCCCTATCAAGCCGAAATATCTGGGCGAAATTCCCATCACAGTCAGAGCTGCCTCAGTCACTGCTTTTGATGCTGTCACTCAGAGGGTTTTAGTAAAGGTAAATATTTGCAGTCTTAGATAAGTCAAATGGCAATACAACATGTAATTGAAAAGCAAACAGAAGATGGTTTTCTTTTGTTAAGTTCATTGATATTCCTAAGATGTCCTCTCCTCCATCCTCTGGAAATGCCTAGTTATTCTCTCATCCGTGTGTAAAAGCATAACCACATATGTCATAGAATTACTACCAATTTCCTCTTTAAATTTAATCAGTAGCGTGACACTAAGGCCTATCAAGTATTTTTTATAGTCATTTGTATCTACAAACTGTGTCTTTGTCAAGTTGATAGGTAGAATGGACACTTTGGAATTCCTCAAAGAAGATTTCATAAGACTTTTTTCGGAGAAGCCTTTCTGTATAAAAAGAAAGCCCAGGCCGGGCGTGGTGGTACACACCTTTAATCCCAGAAGTTGGGAGGCAGAGGCAGGCAGATCTTTGTGAGTTAGAGGCCAGCCTGGTCTACATAGTGAGTTCCAGGACAGCTGGGGCTACAAGGAGACCCTGTCTCAAAAAGACAGACAGACAGACACACACACACAAAGACAGCCCACTGTAATGGATAAACCTCTTGTTTTGGGGTGACATTGCCTTGGATTTGAGTCTCTGTCCTATTAAATGTGATTTCATTTAAGGTATTTAGTGCCTCTGTTTGGATAACCACAGAAGAACCTAATTCAGGGGGCTTTCTTGGTCACATTTTCATCTCTTTTGTAATTTTCATTGCCAATCCAGGAAATGTTTTCTCAGTATAAGTAGAAATGAAATGCTTAATACATTTGGAGTTGGTTTATACACAAACTACAGGCGCAGTAGGCTACATGTCATTATATCTGCATGCAGTTCTCTCTTAACAGATAAGTAGACACTGTTTCAGTTGTGTTCCTTTGCCTCCACAGGCTGAAGGAATAGAAAGATCGTACTCACAATCCATCTTACTAGATTTGACTGACAACAAAGTGTCCACTGTTGTGAAAACTTTGAATTTCTCGTTTCCTCCTGATACAGTTAACGGCAGTGAAAGAGTTCAGATCACAGCAATTGGTAAGAATAGTGTGTATCTCTACCTCCTTGATTTGTATATGATTTGTATTTGTAGAGTTATTATCTAGTTATAGAGATACTGTCTTTAGTCCCAATGAGGAGAGATTGTGAAAGACTTTAGCTGGTTTCAACTGCTGATTACAGTAACAAGGCTAGCAAACTGTGTAACTTAGACTAGCACTTCTCAACATTCAGCATGCAGACTGGGTGCTTACTTAAAAAGAAATTGTGGTTTAGTATGTCTGAGATAGGGCCTGAGCTCACTCCCTCCTTTCTCCCTTTCTCTCGCTTTGCCTTCCAAGGATGAACACAGGGCCTTGTGCATACTAGACAAGTGCTCTACCACTGAAATATATCACTGGCCCTTAGTTTCATGAGATAAGGTCTAGATATTAGTCCTCTCTGACCTTGAAATCCACAATTAACCCAGACTGACCTTGAAATCCAGATCCTCCTGTTTCAGCCTCTTGGATGCTGGGATTATAGGCAAGCACCACCATGCCTGCCTGGAATTCTTGAATTTCTAAGGTGATGGTGATGCTTCTGGTGTGCAGACCGTGTTCCAGGTACCGAAGCCATACTACATTGTAGGTAGGGCAGGAGACTCCTAAGCAGTGCTTCTGCATTCTGTACCTCTTGGCTACTGGTGAGGCTCTTATCTTGCATGACATTTTGTAAAAAGCACAAATATCTGGGCTCTTCTCTAAACCTACTAAATCAGAATTTTCTTTTTTTCTTTTGGCTTTTTGAGACAGGGTCTCTCTGTAATCCCAGCAGACCTGAACTTACTATGTAGATCAGGCTGGCCTTGAACTCACAGTGACCCGCCTGCCTCTGCCTCCCAAATGCTGGTAAATCATAATTTCTTAGTCTATAAATCAGGGTGAGTATGTTTTGGAAACTTTCCACCAACGAGTTTGGATAAAAAAGGGCTGAGACCCTAGAGCTGTTCTGTGTGCAGGATGTAAGCAACCTTTCCAGTTGGAATACTCGTTACTTCTAGTTACCTTCTAGTCACCTAAAATGCATTTCAATCAGAAATAACTTCTACAACATGTGCCTTACTTAGACAGGCTTTTCCAGAGAAACACAACTGATGGGATAGATGCAAAAGCAGATTTATCACGAGGTGTTTGCTTGTATGATTATGGACACTTAGAAGTTCATAATCTGTGTTGGCAAAGATTCTATAGGGCCAGTGTAACTCAGTGTGAATCCAAATGTCTGGGCGCTTTGAGAACTAGTGACATAAATCTCATTCTCAGAGGAGGAGATGTAATGTCCCAGCTGGGCAGTGAGGCAGGACAGTGTGACAGCATCTTCTCCGTCCGCCCTTACTTCTACTCAGGCCTTCAGTGGATTACATGGTGCTCACACACATTTATGACAATTCACTTCATTCAGAGTATGGAATCAAATGCTAACTAATCCTATCCCCAAATAGCCTCACAGAGACACTCAGAAACAATGCTTAATCTGAACACCCTGTGGCCCACTGAAGTTGACACAGAATTAATCATCATTATGTTTAATGAATTTAGTTGTGCTTTGTGGATAACTGAAGAAAATGTCTTAATGACACCTAAACTGTTAAGTCTTTAAGGTGTTAGGACTCAAGATACTTTTTCAGAGTTCTTTTAAATCTTACCCATAGGTGTCACAGTTTTAATTATAACTTCAAGCAGTCAGACTGTATGTAAAAGACCTTATTGGAGCGCTAGATACAATTCTTAAAAAGAATGAAATAAGTTTTCTACTTAGAACAATACGTTCTACTTTACTATTTCTTGCGATATGGGGATGTGGGGGGATGTGCTTCACACACACCATAACACAGATGTGCACACATGTAGTGCATGTATGCATGCTCAGCTACACACAAAGAGGGAAGCCTTGCATTTTTAATGTGCATGAATACTCTTACATAGGATTGAGTTCCTCTGTGATTGCAGAAATTCTCCCAGCTTTTAATTTTTTTAAAAATATTTTATTTATTATTTTTATTTTATGTGTATGAGTGTATTGCTTGCATGTATGTGAGTGCACCCGTGTAGTGCAATGCTGCCAAGGTCAGAAGAGACTGTCAGATTCCCCTAGAACTGAAGTTAAGGACGGTTCGTAGCCACCATGTGGGTGCTGGGAATCAAACCAAGGTCATCTGCAAGAGCAGTCTGTGCTCTTAACTGTTGAGCCATCTCTCCAGCTCCTCTGAGCTTTAATTTTTATGCTTGAGGTAAACAATGGATTTTTAAAAACTCACTGTAAGAACCGGAGAGATGACTCAGCCATTAAGAACACTAACTGCTCTTTCAGGGAACCAGGATTTGGTTCCCAGCTCCCACATGGTGGCTCATAACTGCCTGTACTCCAGCAACAGACAATCCAAATGCCCTCTTCTGGCCTCTGTGGACTCCTACATGAATGTGGTACATAACATGCAGGCAAAACACTCATAGACATTTAAAAAAATATTATTTTGTGAATATGAGTGTATTGCCTGCATGTATGTAAGTGTACCTGTGTCATGCAATGCCTGCAGAGGTCAGAAGAGGACATTGGATTCCACGGGAACCAGATTTTCTGTTAACTGATGACAGGCTTGTAGCTACAACCTGTTGCCATTTCTTTTTTTTGTGCTTGTGTCTTTTAAGATAAGATTTTCACTGGGTATTTAAACTCAGCGTGCTGTAGTTTTTCAAAATAAATTACACAGGATATTCTTCCTCCTATGAAACTCTGTCCCTATTTCTGAATTTTTATTTCCTTTCCCGAGTCATGGTGTTAGAATGTGGACAGAAGTCTCTCTTTTTTTTGGTCTTTTTGAGACAGGGTCTCCCTGTAACCCCAGCTGTCCTGGAACTCACTATGTAGAGTAGATCAGGCTGGCTTTGAACTCACTGAGATCCACCTGCCTCTGCCTCCTGAGTGCTGGGATTAAAGGCATGCACCACCGTGCCTGGCCAGAATATGGCTTGTTTAACTTTAGATTACTATCTTTGAAGAATATTCCTGAGCCATTTTGATTGTGAGATCTGTTGAAATACACTTAATAGGTCTACTTAGTTGCTAAGAAGAGCATTTTGAAAAACACTGAAATCTTTGTTTTAGAAAATGATCACTTTTTAATTATAAAAAACTTAGGATAAAGTTCTGCTTATCTGAAGAATACTAATGACAAAACATTCCTTTCATCAATGGTTGTTCCTAATGGTCAATTCCTGACATTTTCGTTCAAGATTTAAAGGAAAACTTAGTGTATGCCCCATCTTTAACTGAGGCGGAAGCCTGATTTATCACATAGCCCACGCTGAGTTCCACATCATTACTGTTTTTCTGATCACGTTTCTACTCCATTCTACTGCGTCTATGAGCGATGCCTCTACCGAGCAGAGACAGCTGCCAGCAGGTAAGATTGGTGAGTGTTCAGCAAGTGAACCAAGTATTTTGTGCTTTCAGGAGATATTCTTGGCCCTTCCATCAGTGGCTTAGCCTCACTGATTCGAATGCCTTATGGTTGTGGAGAACAGAACATGATAAACTTCGCTCCAAATATTTACATTTTGGATTATCTGACTAAGCAGAAACAGCTGACAGATAATTTAAAAGAAAAAGCCCTTTCATATATGAGGCAAGGTAAGCATTCGATATGCTTTTATCTGTTAAGAAGTGTGTGTTTGTTTGCAGGTCAGGTTCTTCCTAGGCCATGTTTCAAAATAGATCAATTTTGTCTCTATACATGATGGTGGGACTAGATGGAATTGAGGTGGAAGGTCAGGTAGCAGGAAACTGTCGCTTGTCTTCCTGCAGCCAATCATTCATTAACTCCTGCTAAGGTGGTAGTGGTAGTAAAGATCTATTTTCCAGACTAGTTTCAAATTCCTAGGCAGCTGAGGCTGGCTTTGAACGCTTGATTCTCCTGCCATCACTTCCTGAGGTTGGATGTGTGTGCTGCTGTGGCAATTTCACCACACATGTGGCATATCTCTTAGTGCTAAGATCAGTTGTATCGTGGAGAAAGCAGGTGTCTTTCCTCTCGAGGAATTCACTGTTGGTGTTATGTGCTGGGGAACTTTGTGGTACTAAAAATGTCCAGTAGGTGAAGGATGGACAGAAATGTGTGGGGGTGGGTGGGAGCTGGCTCCTCAGAAAATTCCACAGAGGTAGTGAGTCTCTGACTCTGAACTGTTGAGACTGTTCAGACACCATATGAGTTGGCCACTTGCTAATAGCAAAGTCACATGGGTTGTGTGGTTATGTGGCAGGCAATGTTCTAAGCACTCGATATCTAGAATCTCATTCCATGCTCACAGTAAATGTTAACATGATTCCAATTTTGTAGAATAGGAAGCTGAGGCACAGAAAAGTTACATAGTTTGCCCAGGATCATGGCAAGCTCATGGCTAATCTGGAATTTGGACTCAGTATCTGGGTCCACAGTCCTTGCTCTCAATATCCACACTAAGAAAAAAATGAAGAGTGGTGAACTATTTTTAATAAAAATAAAATGCAAGTTTGCTTTTTTGAAATACCACAAAATCCAACCCCCCAAATAACAATCTCAGCTTTGTATTTGCCTGTAGTATTTGTCTGGTACGTGCTATACACAGAACTCACGAAGATTTGAAATAAAGACTTCAAAATGACTGGGAAACATTTACCAAACATAGAGTAGGAACATTTGTTCAATACTATTTAGTTCCCGTTTTTTTTTTTTTTTTTTTTTTTTTTTTTTTAGTTTTTCAGTTCCATCTGGATAAAAGCAAAGAGAGGTGCACTGCTAGCTGTTACTACAGACAAATTGAGAAGCTCAAGTAATGACATTATTTTGATATAAACCTTTCTTTCAGGTTCTCTCAATATAAAGAAGCCTGTTTACCCTAAACTAAATTCTATGTAGTAATAGTAATGGCAGCTACCCTTTTTAAAAACCTTACATGTTTCGTTTAACTCTCACAAAAACTACAGGTAGTAGATGCACTACTATCTCCATTTTACAAGTGAGGAAATTGAGGCACAGGGAGGTTCAATGAGCTGTGGAAACCCTGGGGGAGTGGGCTGCAGAGTCTGAGAATCCACAGGGTGTCTCATTTGCATTATTCTTGGGTTGTTAGAAGCAATGGGCTCGATGGATGAGAGCCCAGAGCTGGGCCAAGAGGACCTGAGTACACCAGCATGCAGCTGGCATCAGTGAGGGTTCTGATAAAACAGTAGGGAAGAAGCGTGGGTCTTTGGGGGAAGGAAGTCCAAAGGCTGGAGTCTAGTGTTGGATTAGACCAGTGCGAGCTGTAAGGTGTTGGATTAGACCAGTGCGAGCTGTAAAGTGTTGGATTAGACCAGTGTGAGCTGTAAGGTGTTGGATTAGACCAGTGCGAGCTGTAAGGTGTTAGATTAGACCAGTGTGAGCTGTAAGGTGTTGGATCCAGGCGGATGAGCTGGTCAAGGTCCTCATGGGTGAAATGGTTGCAGACAAAGGCTGAGTGGAAGCCAGGGGTTATGCAAGGAGCAAGGCAGTGTGTGGGAAAAGCCAAGGGGGACCAGGGCTTGGGATCAGGGTTAAGTATCACCTGTCTTATGGGGAAGAGCATGGGGTGTGATTGTCCTCCCTATTAGGAGCGCACATGATGCTGACATTCTGGAAGCTCTCAAACACAGAAACTGGTAAGAGTCCCTCAATAAATTCTCAAAGATCTAGCACTTGTTATTTTTTGTGTAGAGATACTGATTTAAAAACACTGTTCTTAAGCTGGGCAAGGTGGTGCACGCCTTTAATCCCAGCACTCGGGAGGCAGAGGCAGGCGGATCTCTGTGAGTTCAAGGCCAGCCTGGTCTACATAGTGAGTTCCAGGACAGCTGGGGCTATAGGGAGACCCTGTCTCAAAAAGACCACACACACACAAAAATACTGTTCTTTAGGGGTTGGGGAATTAGTACAGAGGTAGAGCGCTTGTCTAGTAAGCCCAAGGTCTTGGGTTCAGTCCTCTGCTATGGGGGTAGGACAAAATAACAAAAAAAAATCCCCAATACCATTCTTTATACACAATACACATCT